TGCCTAGAGATTTAACCTGTTACTGCTTTAAACTGCTGAATTTATGGCTTACGTATTATTTGTTTGGTTTGTTTATTTTGTTTGTTTCTTTCAAACACCAGGAAATAATGATTTGGATTGTGTTCACATTTTTCAGGGGAACCCCTAACCCTTGCACTGCCAAGGCAACTTCCTTGCAGGCCCCTCAAGGTGGGGGAAACTTTCTTCTGGTTTATCCTTTCATTGAGAATGTAGCCCTTGAGAGGTCCAGCTTGAAGTGGCAAGTGTTTCTTACTGAACGTTCTACCCTGGGTGGGCTGTGGTCTGTGACTGTCTGCTTGGCATCGTGGTACCCTGGAAATGGAAATTCAAGATCACCAGGGACCCTTAGGCCATATATGACTTTGGTGCTTCTTTTACCTGTCTCATGTTCTTAATTTCCCCCAGTAGATCCCTAATATTTTATCAAGTCTTAAGTGCTTTTAATTTTTTTTAATATATTTTATCCTGTCTTTAGTTTTTTTCAAGGGAAGGTTGGTTCAAACATCCTAACCTGTCATATTTCTAGAAATGTTTTTGAATCTTTCGACCCTTGGCAGATATTTATTGCATATATGGCAGATGATTAATTTTAATATTGCAGTTTCAGAGATACATTCTCCTCATGTAGTAAGTGTATTGTGATGAATGATTAAACGGTTGCATTTGGTGGGGTCAGAATGTTGATCTTAAGTAAGACTCTACTCATAGATTTGCAAACTAAGTTCCTTTGTCAGGATCATTTATGTTAGTTTCTTTCACTTTTATTTTCTAAAATGAAAATGTTAAACAAGTCGCCCATGGTGAGTCACACCCATAATCCTAGCACTTTGGGAGGCTGAGGCAGGAGGAGCACTTGAGACCAGGAGTTTGAGACCAGCCTGGGCTACAAAGCAAGACCTCATCTCTTTAAAAAAAAAAAAAAAAAATTAGCTGGGCGTGGTGGCATGCAACTGTAGTCCCAGATCCTTGGGAGGCTGAGGTGGGAGTATTGCTTGAGCCCAGGAGTTCCAAGCTGCAGTAAGCTATGATCGTGCCACTGCACCCCAGCCTGGGTGACAGAGACCCTGTCTCTTAAAAAAAAAATAGAAAATGTTAAATGGCTTTTCCTGGTAAAGAGATATATTATGCTGAATATGAAAGTTCGACAATTCAGAAGTGGTAAAATAGAAAGTCTCCTGCAAAAGAACTGTTCCTAAAGAGTGCAGTGAGCAAGGATTTCTAGACCTTTTATACACACACACACACACACACACACACACACACACACACACACTTATATAGTAGAGTTCCACATTTCCATTTTATTAATTTAATATCCTGTAAACATTTGTATTCTATAAATAGTGCTGTAATGAATATCTTTGTACATTCTTCTGTACTTACACATTTTTTTCTTTCAATAAATTCCCTAATTGTAATTACCAAGTCAAAGAGTATGCTCATTTGAAAATGTCATCACTGGCCAGGTGTGGTGGCTCACTCCTGTAATCCTAGCACTGTGGGAGGCCGAGGCAGGAGGC